GGCTGCCGGGGGCGGGGAAGGGGCCTCCCCGGCAGGGAGCGGGTCGGTCGTAGGGGCAAAAAGAAACCCCAGACTTCTGTCCCCGTCGGGCGTGAGAAGGGCAGCTGTGAGCGCGCGGGGGGGTTGGAAACCCTGCTGATGCGTTTTGGCTGTGACTGAAGTGCTGCAAAGGAAGATGAGTCCCGCAGAAGCTGCTCTTACTTCCCAGCAGTGTCCAGGGTGTGTGGAGCAGCTGGGGCGTAAACCCTTTGGAAGCTTGTTTATGTCAATGACTGCAGGCAGAGGAAGCTCCTTTTCTGACAAAGAGAAGCAAAAGAGGAACAAGGGATGTCATCTCGGATTAAGTTTTCTGAACTGTTTCGGGTCCTGACAGCTCAGACTGAGATTGCTTTCTTTGCAGCTTGTTTGCAACGGGCTACATAGAAGTTCTTCTCAAAACCTCAGCTTTCTGGTTTTGCTATAACTGTCTCAATAGCCTGAGTATTTGGTAAAACTCTTCGTGTAGCAGTGCAATTAAAAGAGGGAAATCTTGCAGTCTGGAATGGACAGAGTTGAGCTGGGGTGTTAGTACCTGCCCTGCAATATAGGGTTGCAGTAATGGTAAGACCTGTGAGTGATGCTGGAAAGAGAGAGAAGGTACTTCATTTCCATGTTCTTGTGGGTTTGATCTGTCATATTATTGTATATAAATCAACTGGTCATATTTACACAGTGCTGCTCAGTGTTACTACTATTTGTTAGAAATATTTGACAGGGAATGAGCCTGTGGCATTCAGAATCAGTAGCCAGCTAAAAGCTGATTAAAAATTGTTTTCCAGTAGGAAAAATCTTTTCCTGTGGAGATACCTGTATTTGTGTATATATGATGTCATCAGCCACCAAAAATTAACATGGAAAACTTTTTAAATTACTTTTTGTAAACTGTGCAGCAGCTATAAAGCTTTTTCAATAATCCCTGTTTTCATATCCTGTTGGTCAAACCCAACAGTCATGCTCAAGCTTCATATAAAACCTTTTTTGGAAGTTTCCCTACTTACAGTTTTTAGAGGAAAGCAGAAAAATAAGATCCTGCTTACAAATCAATAGGCAATAAACCATAACTGGCAGTCTGGTTTTGCAGTGTAAGCAAGAATTTTAGGCTCCTTTTAAAATGCAGCCCCAGCTGTGTGTTCACTACCTGTATTTTTCTGATCTTATGGCTCTTCCTGAGGTTTTACATTTGTAGTAAACGAGTAGACAAGTACTCATGAGATTGCTTGTTCAGTTCAACACTTCTCTGGTTTCTCCCTGTCCCACATGTTTTTATTTCTGCATTCTTCAACATTTCATGTATTTCTGGAGTCTAAGACAAAGGGAATGATCAAGCCCCACATATCTTACCAAGATTCCCTCCCACCCCTTTCTGTCTTTTTTCCTTTTCTGTTCTTTTGCAGAGTTGTTAGTACTTGTGACATGATGTGCTGAACTGGAATGTGAAAGCACAAGGCAAAATTTTATCTGGCAATCACTTCTGTTCTGAAGGATGTAATTACTCTGAAGCTACCCCTGCTGGTACTGGATCTGCATTGTTCACACAGTGGGTGAATTAGTGATCAAGAAGCATGGTGGGAGCACTTACGAACAGCAGAAAAGCAGGAATCTGTGGCAGAACTGCCCTTTGCTGAAAGGTGTGGGAAGTTCTCCAGGTAAGTATGGTGTCAACTAGTGATGGTTTAGCCATTCTTGAATTTTATTTGGATTGGTGCACATGTAGGCTTAAGAGGCAGCAATCGGCCACACTTCAGTAACTTTTCTTCTTCTTCTTCTCCTTGTAGCACTTTCATTCAGTGATTAAATTGAAGACATGGGGCCAATGAAATATAAATCAAGTGTGTCCTCGGTGTCCTGTGGTCTGCAGTATCACCATTCATCAATAAAGTGGAGTCCAAAAATGAATTTACACATAGTGAGGACTTACTGCTCCTCAGCACCCAAGAGGCCTGAAGCCAAGTCTGCAATGGAAATGGCCGTGGGTCTCCTCGGCCGCCTGACAGAAGCTGGGACGGTCATGGGAAAAAACTCCCTGCAAAAAGTGTCTGCAACGTGCAAGGCTTGGTGGGACAGATATGAGGAGTTTGTTGGGATTAATGAAGTTCGAGAGGCACAGGGGAAAGTGACAGAGGTAAACAAGGAGATAACCTGGAAACTTAAAAGTTATGATTTTAACTACATGAAGGATAAACAGTGGCTGTCAGGCAAAAAAAAAAAAAAAGATGCTCCAAGGAGAATCATGTCTTTTTTTTCTGCTTTGATTGTCTTTGCGGATAAATTAATGTTTCTGCATGTTAGCAAATACAGCCTGTCCCTGAGGCTGAAATGGAGTGTGGTTTGCTTTGTTGCTGGGGCTCTTTCCTCAAAAAAAAATGGAACGTAGTGATTTGGATCTGTCTGGTGCTAAGTCTCTAAAACACATCCTCTTCCTTCTCAGGCTGAAAACATCTTTATGATAGCTCGAGGGATAGTGCGAGAGGCGCGGGAGAACGTGGAAACCCAACAGATGAAACTGAAGGAAATTCGGGACCGCTTAGACAGGGTCTCCCGGGATGACACCCAGTATTTAGAACTGGCCACCCTGGAACACAGGTTGCTGCAGGTAATTTGTTGGCGTTTAGCAGATGTGATGAAAGTTTGTGTGCTTTGCTTTTGTCACTAGTGGCTGGTTTTGCAGATGCAGCTCAGTTCTGAAGTCAATTTCTGATGATACTTGGTTTAGTTAAATGTTATAGATTGTTTGATCTGCTTTGGAAATGCTAAAATAGGGCTGTAAATTTGGAGGTGAAAGGTGAAGATGGTGAGCCTAGAAAGATGAGTGGTGACCTGTAGATTAGTCAGCTAAAAGCTGGGATTTGATGAATTAACCTTCTGTGTGATAAGGGAAGTTCCTTTCTGGTTAATCCATGAAAATTCTTTCAGCTGCCTTCAACACCCAGGCCTTATTAAAGCTGTTGTGAGAGAGCTGAAGGAGCAAAGCTGGTTTTTTGGGGAGTGCAAGCAAGAAGATGAGGTTGACCACAGTGCAGGCTGGGGCAGCATCTTCACCAGCAGGACATAGCCCTGCAGTGTCTCAGCTGCATGAGCCAAATGGGCTGGTGACAGGAACATGCTTATTAACATCCCATCAATCAGAGATAAAGACAAGGTAGCAGCCCAAGTCAGTCCAGGAAATCCAGATGAAACTACAGGAACAGCAGGGAACAGGCCTGGAAGCAGGTACACCTTTGGCAAAGCCCAGGCAAGGAGTGGGTACCTGTGCTTGAGCTTAAACTGAGCTCCTGGATCAGTGGGTAGAACATCAGGAAAGACTAGAGAGCTCTTGTTGTTTAAATAAGGGATCAGGTCTGTGTGTGTGAGTCTTCAAGAAGAACAGAGCTCTGTGTGACTGTGAAGAAAGGCAGAACTGAAGTCAGTGCTGTCCATAAGGTGGTGGTGCTGTCTCACAAAAGAAACAGACACTCAGGAGAATGAGAATAATTCTGGGAGATGCAGTTAGCTGGCAGGCAGGCTCACCACTACCAAAAGCAGTGATTGCTTTGCTAAACAGTGGAATTTTACTGCAGGAAAACAACCAGAAAACTCTCCATTGTTTTGCTGAGATGAGGTGGTTTAAAGAAAGGAAGTGCCATGCTGAAGCCAGTGAGAAGGGAGAGAGGGAAGACATTTGTCTGTGAGCAGGGTAAGAACGAGAAGGCAGAGAAATAGAAGTGTGTGTGTTCATGAGATGAAGCTATCAGAGACAGACCTATTTTCAGTTCCCATATAAGGGGTTTAGAACTGAAAGGAAGAAGTGTGACAAGTAAAGGTAGTGTTTGGAAAAGTAGGTTCAAAAAACGATTTTCCCTGCCCGTACCCCTTTTCTATCATCAACATGTGACAGATTCTTGTGTAGAGGATCTTCAGCTGGAATGCTCAGTGACCTTTTCCATTTCTCAATTTTGATTTAGAATGATGTCTGACTTAAGTAGGATTAATAAACAAAATCCCACATTAAAAGGAAAATTTCTGAAACAGAACTAACAGATGTTCTTCATTTCCGTTTTTTCATCTGCATTGGGGTTTGGTTGGTTTGAGTGTTGGGGTTTTTTTCGGGGGGGGATGTTAGACTTTATAGCTTCATATTATACTTTCTCCTTCAAATCACTGTATTTCTTGCAGGAAGAGAAGAGGTACCGAGCTGCCTATTTAAATGCAGAAGAATCTGAGAGAGAAAAATTCTCTCTCTTCTCTGCAGCTGTGAGGGAAAGTCATGAGAAAGAGCGAACAAGAGCTGAAAAAACAAAGAACTGGTCTATTATTGGTTCTGTACTGGGAGCCATTATAGGTGTTCTTGGTTCCACATATGTTAATCGAGTAAGGTTGCAGGAATTGAAAGTCTTGGTGCTTGAAGCACAAAAGGGCCCAATAAATCTGCAAGAAGCCATCAAAGAACAGGCCTCCAGTCATTACATACAGCAGAAGGATCTCAGTGATGTCATAGCAGACCTGAAAAATGTGCTGCAAACAAGAACACCACAGGAGATAAAAGAAGACACTTTGTTAACTAGAGGAGACAAGAATAACTCCATAAAAATAGATTCTCTTTTAATTCCTTTAAACGAGCAGCTAAACTACACTAAACAGGTCAGTTCGTGTCTAGGCAGTTTACAGCAGCAGTTAAACAGCCTGCAGGAGAGCATTACACAGCTGATCTCTGAGGTGCAGAGTGTGAAACTGGCTGTTCATGCCAGGCCTGCAGACAGAGCAGGTTCCAGGGCTGCAGCAGAGGGCACAGGCCAGGCCTCTGCAGTGAGGGACGTGATTTTAGAGCTGTGTGACACCGAGCGGAGACTGGAAGCACAGATCAAGAGGAATTCTATTTACAGCACTGCAGTGACCTGTGCTGTGGTTGCTATTACTCTGCCAGTGCTCTATATTATACTTAAAGGGAACTGATCTCTAATTGCCACAATTTGCTAGGTTGATAAAAGTAAAGTTGCACTCTACATGCTCAGAGTACAAGTCCAAATAAAGCTGTGTTAGCACTTCTCATTATGCTTCCTCCTGGATACTTGGAAAACTTGTGAAGACTTAGTCCATCTGCTCCTGCAGGCTCCATGTTAACAGTCTCTGTCATGCATTGTGGTTTTTAAGTCCTCAACCAAAGGAAATTCTAGTTTCATCTGTTGATTTTATTCACTGTTTCACTCTTTTACTGTCTAGTCTTGTATATCGTGCCAGTTGGTGACTTTCACTCTGGAACTGCGTGATTTTCTGTTCAAATTATTCATTTCATCTGTCATTGACCTAAGTGCTTCATGTGTAATTCTTTATAATATTGCCCCTGATTTCTTCATAGTTTTGCAGCTTGGCCATACAAAAAAAACCCAAACAAACAAAGTAATTTTGCCAAACACTTTGAAATAGTTACCCTGAATTTTTTAATTCTATACACAGTGCAGTGCCTTGCAACATGACAAAGACAGGGCCCATGTAAAAGAGGAGAACTGAAGTTACCATGATACAATGTGACTGTACAGCCAGATGGCACATTTAAAATCCCTTTAAGTTATATGTGGTAGCTTCTTCTTAGAGTGGTTTATCATGAAGTATCCTGGAGCTGTAGGTATTTGTTACTGGTAGCTCCATGTCCTTGCTTGCAGGCAAGGAAAGAGAAAAAAGGGTTCAGATACAGAGATGTGTTAAGTATGATGATGCTTATTCTGCCAATAGAAGCCAATTATCCTTTCTCTACAGGCTCCTTAACCCATCATTCCCTAGGTATTTTGTGGTTTTAGTAATCATCTATGGAGCATTTGCTTTCTTATTCTTGCTAGTATCTCATTGGAACTTTCTCCATTTTTTATTCTTTTTTTCAATTTTTGTCCTGTCTGGAAATAGAAATGCTGCTCTACAGCAGCTGCTTTTAAGCCGGTATGTAAATCGTAACAGCATTATGCAAACCACTCCAAAATAATGTTTTGAAAAAAAGTGAAAAGTCCAGTTGTTTGTTTTTCCTGGAAGGTTGAAGAATGGTTGATTCAGAAAAAAGGCTTGTCTATAACCTCAGTGTCTGTGTGCGGCGTCACACAAAGCTGTTGGTATCACTGTGATAAGAAGCAGTTTTCTCCCTGTGGTGGGAGCAGATAAGCAAATCAGATGAGAAGCTCGTGCTCTATGAGCACTGTGAGGAACCTTTGCAGACAAAATGTGACAAGCTCACTTCATGCTTTTGTGTAAGCTTTCAGAATGACTAAGTTGTGTTTATTATAGAGTCTGCTGTGGTTGTGGTGTTTTTTTTTCTATAGGCTCTCTCTAGTTTCCCCCAGTAACCATGTTAAAAGAGTCTGAGGGTTTGACTATGAACTCCTAAGACCACAAGATGTTTGTACAGGGACATGTGCTCTGAGACACCAAGTTCCTTTGGTATCATTAGGTGCTCTTATGACTGAATAAACAAATTATATTGGGAGAGATCTGTGATGATTCACTGCTTTTCAGGGAGATGAAGAATGCACAAAGTGGTTTTGGGAAGGACCAGTGCTGATTTATAGATTGATTGTTTGGAGTGTAAACATGAATAACAAGTATTTGTCATATTATCATATTGCCTGATCTGATGGCTTGAGAACTGTGATAAAATTATCTTGCACTTAGCTGTGCCAAGAAGTATACATAAAGATCAGTACCATTTTTTAAATCTGTAATGTTTTGTTCTCTCATTTCACAAGTGTTTTACAGGTTATGCTTCTTGCAGGAGCTTGATGAAAATCAGATACAAGTGTGTAATTAAAGGGGAAGGGGTAGTACAATGGTTCTATGTGTAATTTGCCAACAGTATTCACTGAGAATTTTGTTGTGTGTTTTTTAATTTATTTTTTCTTCAGTTTAACTACATAAAGTTAGGTCTCCTTGTTATGTAAGTGGCTGAATTTTGGATACTCAGCATCATGGAAAAGTGTGAATTATATATACAAGCCTGGTTCTCAAATGCTGAATGTTGGGCAGCTAAACTTGAAAGTTGAGGCAGCACTCACTGAATCGTACTTGGTGGCATCAAAAAAGAGTGAAGGTCCAAGGTTAAGCTTGTATTCAATAAATAAGAGAATACAAAACCAAGGGTTGTTTGTTGCTCTCAAAGAGATTTGCTTTCTACCCATTTAAAGGAAGGATGGTAGTAGGAAGCTTAGCATTGCCTGGAGTTATGGGGAAGAAAATCACTGAGAAGAGTAGCAAATACATCTGTAATAAATGAGTTTGAAATACAGAGCCTGAGATTTGAAAAGAGCTGGATGGTGTGATATGTATCAACATGAAAATAACTGGGTCTCATCCTTTGTAGGGAATTTTGAAGGTTCAGGGAGAGACTCTGTGAGCAACTTTGTGCCCCTGGCAGAACATAAATGATTACTGTGGTTCTTGTATTTCTGCTCTTGCTAGATTCTCCTGTGTGAAGTGACAGCAGAATAATTTCATTAGGAGAAAAAAAACACAAAACAACAGACACAAACAACCCACAAAAAACACCTTGTCATTAACTGTGTCTATGTAATAATTAGGAGAGCAGATTTGTATATTCCCTCAATCCTGGGTTAATCCACTCCATTGTGGCAATGATCTGTGCCAATGCTGTATGTGTACCCCAAAGCCAGAAGGTGTGGCTGCAACAGTAGCAGCTGTACCTCAGCTAGCTGAAGGCAGTATCCAGGAAGACACTAGGACATAGACTACCTGCCTAATCTGTTCAGGACTTCATGCTAAATATTTGTCATGGTAACACAGGCAGCAAATACACAAGTCTGAACAAATGCACAGCTGTGCAGAAGTGTTTATCTGGGTGCTCACGTTAGTTCAGGTACACTGGCAATACAGTGATTTCCATAATAGTCAGTGTCATCTCTGTGCATGTTTCCTGATGATTCAGCCATGGCCAAATGAACAGTTCCTTGCCTGTGCTCTTCTGGGCTACTTCAGTTAAAAAATAATGGGGGTTTTATTATTATTATTTTTTTAAAAAAGGTGTTCTGTTGCATACCTATGGATTATTAACAAAGTTCGTAGTAGATAGTTGAGTTTCACTTCTGGGAAGAGGTCTCTTAGCTTAAGCTTTCCTCAGCAAGAATATTCTGCTTGCAGAGCCCTTTTGAGACTTACATTCTTGCTCCTGTGAGTAAAGTCCCCTCTGGGCAGGATGGCTCAACCAGCCCTGGGTCCCAAACACCCGTCAGCCAGGAGGGGTGGTGGCTGCAGTGGTTTGTACAGGTCTAATGAGGCTGGGGACTGACCTAGGCATTGTGTACAGGTCAGAGAAAAGCACTGCTGATTCAAGTTAATTCCACTGACAAGGTGCAGAAGATAAGACACCTAGTAAGAGCAATAGGAAACCCTCTGATAGACACTAACTATAGAAAAATGAGTGGCAGTGGCCTGAGCTTGGTCTATGCTAAGTTATTTCGAGTTCTTACTGTTTTGTGAGAAGGCACCAGTAACTCAAAAGCAAACAGCCTCGTGGCTATGGAAATAACTTTAATGAGGTCACTGCAGATTTCTAACAGTAGCTGCATTCTGAAGAGGAAAGTTGCCATTTATTCCATTCATGAAAGGAGCAGCATATAAATACACGACAAAAGCAATCATATGAGGTGTCATAATCAGGATATATATTTATTAACACTCAAGTTTTGAATGTTTCCAGCATTCTAAGTTCCTAGTCAGAAGTTGCAGGTGCTCCTGTTAATTTCAGTGTAACTATCTGTTTGGAAAAGACCATTTCTTTCACCGAAGAATACCTTCTAAAAACAAATACTTCCATCTTTATAGAGCTGAGGACTGGTAGAGATGTCCTGTTGACTTCAGAAGCAGGACTGAGATTTGCAGTAGGATTGAGGTTTGTGAGTTAGGAAAGGGAGTCAATGCTGGTTTTGTCCATATTATATTTAGAATTGTATTCTATTGCCAGATTTTTGCTAGCAAGTTATATTCATAAAACAGACAAGTGTGATTTCTGGTGCTTGGCAATTGGTGGATAATCCAAGGTGGCATATGCTTAAATACAGCAAAAACCAGTTGGGCCACAGTTGTTTGTTTTTGTTTTAAGGAGAAATAAGCCTCAGATAGTTACAGTTGTGGCAAGGTTTGGGAGTTTACATCATGGGAAGTTTTTAAGAACAGTTTAGATAAATACCACCAGGTTTGATACTGATATTAGGCAGATTCTGTCCTGGGACAGAAAGGATTCAGTCAAGAACTTTTTAAATTTTCTGTTCTAAAAACTGCTGCTTTTTAGTTGGTTTTGGTTTGTTTCTTAAAGTGAGAGTCTATGGACAGTTTGATGTCTGAGTCATCCTAGTGCAGCTCATCCTATAGTGCAAGTGACAGCAGAATGAAGAAGTGTGCTGAGGAAACAACAGCTCAGTTTAGTATGGGCTGTGGTGTTAGACACCAGGAGAGAGGGAGAGTACATGTATGCACAGCTGCAATAAAGGACAGCCCAAAAAGTATCACCTTAGGAGTTATTTTTTGAGAATCAAATTTGTAAGGGTGACTTCTTGACCAGTATTGAAGTACTGTTCAAGGAAGTTTTTAAAGGCTGGTTTTAAGCAGAACTTTGCACACTGCTGTTGTGAGGCTGTAAATAGCTGCAGCCTACACTGGCCTTTCTGTGAGTTTGCCTGAAACAAGCTGGCCCATGAAAGATTATTCTGTTTAAATAGTGGCACTTCATAAGTTCTCAAGAACTTCTCTGTGCTTTAAGACTTGTTTTAAAAAACAAACCATAATCTGTTAATTCAGTGAGCTGATCATCCAAGATCCTGTAGTAGTTTGGTGCATGTGATCTGCTTCATCAAATACATCTAATTCTTGCTCTTCATGAAGGTGATTGTGACAATCTATGGGGCTGCAGCCTTCCTGTGATGCTGAGAAACTTCTTCATGGTGACTTTGGACATGTCATGT